AGGCACTGTGACCGTTTTAGGTGGTGCGGAAACTTCACCATTGATAAAACTAATTAATCCTTGACTCTTGATCAGACCAATCATCAGCGGCCTCCACGTAATGTAGTTCTCTCGAGAGAGTTTGAAAGAGAAAATGTCTCTCACTTTGATCCCTAATGGGAATGGGTACTTTTCAGAAGATGACTTAGGGGTTGACGAAGAAGCCATTGAAACTTGGAGGAAGGTTTTGGATATATATTCTTTCCTATCTAGCTAGCTCTCAGACCATGGTTGTTAAAATCGCGATTCTGAGTCGTAGAATCGCACGATTCTACGACTCAGATCTTAAAATCGACTCAAATCGGATCAGAATCGCCCAATTGATAGAATCGTAGGTAGAATCGTTAGAATCGTTGTTAGAATCGTAGAATCGTACGATTCTATACGATTCTACCGATTCTACCAAAAATGTGTGTTTGGGGCCTTTGGGCGGGCCTTTATACTATTTGGTCTTTGGGCCATTATTCTTTTAGTTGTTTGGGCCAAAGCCTGGCCCAAATTTTGTATAAAAATTTATTTACCAAATTATATATTTTAATTATTTATTTTATAAATCATTAAATACAAAACAAAGTTACAAACCCTATCTCATCTCAGAGAGGAGTGAGGAGTCGAGGACTGAGAGGAGGCGGCAGTGCAGAGGGCAGAGGCTCATAGCTTGCAGATCGGAATCATCGGATCCATACAACAGGTTCGGCCAGGTATGTTATATATTTATTTTCTTCCTTGATCAAGAACCTCCAACTACTAATTAACAGGATCCATGACAGTGAGGAGAGAATTCAACCAATTGAAAAATAATAGGAAATATATACACACAAAGATATAATAAATAACTTCAAATCCTGTTTTGAATATATATATAATTTTGAATAGGCTGGTTTGATGAATTCTTATTATTATTTTTTATTTCTAGTGTTTGGAAACCTGCTTTGAATTAAAAAAAAATAGAGGTAGATTTAGGGCAGTAAAATAGAGGAATGTTGAGGTAAATTAAGAGAGATAGAGAGGAGAACAGATCTAAAAGCAAAGCTATGCATAATTTATTCAGTGAAATCAGTTTTTTTTTATAATGGCTAGCTCTCCGTCTTATCATTACTTAACTATGCTTAAGGAGTTGTATCTTGGTGCTAACTACTTGGAAGGTATGATACTGAATTTTTTATTTTTTATTTTATTCAATTAGCGTCTGCCTGTTCGTAAGGATCGGTTCTTACAGACTGGATTCCATGTAACAAGTTTGCAAAATTATAAATGTCTGGCTGCTTCTTCTAATTGGAGGTATGGCTGTAAATGAGTTAAAGGCGAGCCAAGTAGGGTTTTGTTGGAGCTCTGTTTCACCTTATAGGCTATCATGAAATTAGATAATTTATTCAGTGATTCAGCTGTACAATCAGTTTTTTATATGCATATACATAATTTATTCAGTGATTCACAAGTACATAATATAATATTTTTATAATGGATTAAGGAAAAAAAAAATAGAGAAAAAGACGAGCAATTCATGGAACAATAATACTATTACAAAACTCAAACCTAAGAGAGAATGAAGTTCCATTGGTAGAAACCTAAGAGCACGGTCTAGAGACAAAAAGAGGATATGAGGTAGAGAGAGAGGGAATATGGGGATATAGATAGAACAAACACAGTTGAATTGAGTTGTGATGTGAATGAGAAGTGTTGTCCAATCCTAGTGTCTCTCCAACATGTAACTTTGGCACGAGTAGGGCTTTGTACCTCGAATTTAGAACATGGTTTGGTAGTTGGTACCTTCAAAATCAGAATCCAACTAATAATAATTCTTGATTTTTTTATTTTTTTTTATTTTTTTTATTTTAATCCTTATTGATAATTTGTTCCCATGTGTGTATATTCTTTTAAACATACTTGTAACATGTAGGTGCTTATGAAAATTTTATATAAGACAATTCGAAAAGAATTTTAAATTACTCAGAGACTAAAACAGAAAAAGTAATTTAAAATAATTACTGTATCTTACAACCATATATGATATTAAACTAAAACATTTAAATGCGGACAATAAGACCATCTAATCCAACAACATGCAGTACTGATTAGAAACTCTATGTCGTGACTGATTGACTGATTCCTATGAATCATTAAAGCTTTATACGTTCCAAAAAAATCAGCATTATAATGACAATGGGTCAAGTGCAAAAAACACCCTTTAAGTATGCATATAGTGCATATCACATCCCTCCCATGCAAAAAACACCTCTCAAGTTTCAATTTGGTGCAATCAAGTCCCTTTGGCACGTTTAAAACCAAACTTGACCAAAATACTCTTAGTCAATAATTTTATAAAAATACAAAAAGGACCATAAACAGTGAACGCCTTGCACACCATAAAGCTCTTTCTACAGTAGAAACATGAAACGAAGTGAGGAACTGAGTAGGTGTTGTTTTTGGTGTTGGGAAGAAAAGTGCACAGAAGAGGAAATTATGGAGAAGGTACTAAACTAAGCACACAGTCACACACACAATCGTATATACCCTTTTTTATATTTAATATATATATATGTACCTCAGGATTAATCTTAGTTAATACATAACTTTCTGTTGGCTCCATGATTTTAGTATTTTACAGAATATATATACACACACACACACACACACACACACACACACACAAACAATAGGTTCTAGCTTCAAATTAAGAAGTATATATGTGTAGTGAATTTAATTAATTTGTTGCAGGATAAGCAGGCCTAAGGCTTAATACACCTGATCTGCTTTCTTATCCGTATTTGTAATCCTGCCAACTAGTTATATGAATTATATGAATGCAAAACTTTTGATTGGTTAAATAACTTGAATTATATGAATATTGAAATAGATGTCATCAGCTGGAAGTTCTGGTAAAACTACAAGAAAAAATGCTCTGGGACAAAGATTAGATCCGGGATGGGAACATGGGGTTGAGGATGGGACTTCAAAAAAAGTGAAGTGTCGGTATTGCAACACTTCCCATTCTGGGGGTATTTATCAGCATAAACATCACTTGGCTGGCACTCATTTAAATGTTGAGCCGTGTCCACAAGTGCCCGAAGAAGTGAGAACATAATTTCAAAAAATTCTTCAAGCTCATTCAGAGGAAAGTCAAAAGAAGAAGAAACAAAACTTATATGATGTTGATATCGATGATGATGATAGTGAATGTAGAGCCTTAGAACAATCAAAGAAGAGGAAGCAAGGTGGTGCAATGGATGGATTTGTAACAAAGAATTCGTCACGGCAAACAACATTGAATGAGAAATTTAAAAAGGAAGAGAGAGATGCAGTATGTCAAATCATAGCCCGATTTTTTTATACCAGTGCTATACCATTCAATTGTGTGAACAATCCCATATTTCCTCTTATGATTAAAAGGATTGGAGAGTATGGGAGGGGGCTCAATCCTCCTTCTTATCATGAAATTAGAGAGACATTCTTGAAGAAGGAAGTGAGTGAAGCATTGAATATACTTGAGAATTTTAGAGGAGAATGGGTGAAGACTGGATGTACTATTATGTCAGATGGGTGGTCTGACAGGAGGAGACGTTCAATATGTAATTTTCTTGTCAATAGCTCATCGGAACTATCTTTTTGTCATCCCGAGATACTTCTGATATTTCAAAAACTGGCCAAATGGTTTTTGAAATGTTAGATGAGATTGTGGAAAAAGTTGGAGAAGAAAATGTTGTACAAGTTGTGACTGATAATGCTTCTAACTACAAATTGGCTGGAGAGATGTTGATGGAAAAGAGGAAAAAATTATTTTGGACACCTTGTGCCGCTTATTGCATTGATTTGATGTTGGAGGATTTTGAGAAAAAAATTGAGATGCATAGTGGGACAATTGAAGATGGAAGGATGATTGTTTCATACATTTATTCAAGGTGTATGCTTAACCATTGGATGAAGGAATTCACAAATGGCAAGGAGCTTATTAGACCTGCAGTGACTCGATTTGCCACTTCTTACTTAACTTTGCAGCGTCTTAATGAATAAAAGGAGAATTGATGAATCTTTTTACATCCTCTAAGTGGAAGTCTAGTAAGTTTGTAAGGACACGTAAAGGGAAAAGAGTTGAAGGCGTGGCTTTAGACAATCGTAACTTCTGGACAAATGTTGCCAATTGTCTAAGAGCTGCAATACCTCTTGTTAAAGTACTCCGATTGGTGGATTCTGATGAGAGACCGGCTATGGGATTCATTTATGGAGCAATGGATCGTGCCAAGGAGGAAATTAAGAAAAACTTCAATGGCATCAAAAAGTGGTAAAGTTTTAATTTATTTAAAAACTAAAAGAGTAATAAAGTTTTTTATTGTTTAGAATATAGTATTGTTTGTAAATAGTTAAACTGAAAATTATTAGACTTACATTAAATTAACGATTTTGTAGGTATGAACCTATTTGTACGATCATTGATGCAAGATGGGCATCTCAACTTCATCAACCCTTGCATGCGGCAGCATATTTTCTGAATCCCCAATTCCAATATAGTCCAAGTTTCCATTTAGATGCAGATGTGAAAATAGGAGTTTATAAATGTCTCCAAAGAATGGTTCCTGATTCTAATGAGAGAGTAAAAATTGATTGCCAAATGGACACATTCAAAGCTGCAAGAGGGCTCTTTGGCCTAGATAATGCAATATTGACAAGGAACAAGAAGTCTCCAGGTTAGAAAATGCAATATTGATATTTGATAATTTATTATATTTCGTAATTCAAATGTCAATTGAAAATTGAATAGTTTTAACTTTAATGTTATAATTTTTTTAATATAATAGCTGAATGGTGGGATTCATATGGTGATGAGTGCCCGAGTTGAAGCGGTTTGCAATTAGAATATTGAGTTTAACATGTAGCTCTTCGGGATGTGAAAGGAATTGGAGTGCATTTGAGATGGTAAATTACTGAATAATGCATAGTTCTAAAATTTTAATAATGTTGTTGTTTAATTTTAAGTTTTAACCTCATTGGTAATATATTTAGGTGCATTCAAAAAGGAGAAACCGGTTGCAACAAAAGAAAATGAATGATTTGGTATTTGTTATGTATAACATAAAATTGAAGGAGAGGAACTTGAAAAGACAAGCTGTCATAGAACCAATTATTTTTGAAGATGTCTATTCCGATGATGAATGGATTACCGAAAAAGAAGATCCGGTTCTTCCAACAAAAACTAAATGGTTGAGGGTTCTTGATGACAAAGTTCAAGAAGATGATTCCGATGAAGAAGATGAAGTAGAAAGGATGACTAGGACACGTAAAAACTTAAATTTTAAACTTTTATTATAATATTGTATAAATTATTACATTATATTAATTTTTGTTCTTTCTTTATGCTTTGTAGTTGAGGAAATTTATGCAATTGATGATAATGAAGATTTGCAGCCATTAAATCCTATTGATGAAGCTAATGAGGAAGATGGTGCAGGGTTCAATGATGACTTTATGGATATGTAATTTTAGTTTCTAACTTTGGAGAGGGATGAGTTAGGATTTGAGATTTATGGACTATTTTATTTTGTGTTACATCCTCTTTTATTTATATTCAGACTTTAGAATATTTTCTTTTACTTTTATTTATATTCGGACTTTAGAATATTGTTAGGATTTGAGATTTGAAGTCATGGATATGTAATATGGTATGTTTTGGCCTTATTTTGGTTGTATTTTACATATCTTATTGTTTAGGAAATTAGTTTCAATTATTTTTTCACAATTTGGTAGAATCTTACGATTCACGATCCGATTCTACGATTCCGATTTTACGGAGTCCAAAACGATTCTACATAGAATCTCGATTTTAACAACCTTGTCTCAGACCAATAGATACCAGTGTGGCTTATCTATTACATATATGTACAACCTCCACCACAAAACAAGTGCCACAGCTGCATAGCAATATGTACTATAAATAAATGACACATTTAAAGTGCCTAATTACAAATACAACATATACGAAAAAGAATGAATATATAAAGTCATTGAATACAGAATAATTATAAATACAATAATTTATACAAAATAATTTTGAATTTGACAAGTACATATACAATTAAGACAAAATTACCCCTCACTTTTTTAGGTTATTCCCCACTCACCTTTTCTCTCCATCATGCAATACGTACTTATTCAAATATTTAGGAAATGAATTTTCAAATAAACCCTTTTGGAATTCTTTTCGGTAATGATTTTATTTATTTTCTACTGTGAATGAATTTAGGGAATTGCTACCGGAGATGATTTTGAAGCAATGTTTAATTTTTATTTTATTTTTTATTTTTTATTTTAATTTGTGGTAAATATGTTCATTCTTTTTTTTACATTAAAAGCTAACTCGAACCTTTACTACTTTGTTCTCCTGATGCATGCTAGACTTCACGAATGTGATAGAATAACGAAGATATATTGTTAAATAAAAAACTAGAACGTAGTATGATGATGGCATATTGGTTGCATATATATAGGTGGTAAAATGGGATGGAGCTATTTGTGTTGAGAGTTTATTTTATTAATAAGTCTTTGTTTGTCGTAGTTTTTGGGATTCTGTTACTTTACCAAGTCTTCAAGAGTATTCTAGCAAGTCTGTTAGTTTTTATGGAATATTTATATATTTTTATGTGTGTGTATATATATATCTCACATGGAAGATGGAAGAAAAGAATAAAGAAAGATGGATGTGTAAGAGAATATGGAATATGTGTAATGAGAGTGATGGGAGAAATTGTAAAATAAAGAGAATGTTGGAGCCAAATTTCTTCTTCCAACATTCAATTATTTTAGCCTAAGTCCTGATGGGATGAGGGGTAGTTAGTTAGAGAGTTATTTGTGTTTTAGTTTTGTTTCATTCTTGCAAAATGTTGTTTGATAGATTGTTTTGTTTTTCTCCTAACTAATTTTCTATATTACGGTTGAAGAGAAAACTCCATTAATGAATTAAAGTTTTATCATCCATTTATTGATTTTCATTTATATGTTTAAATGCTAATGATTTTTACTTATTATGATTAATTATTTTAAGTTTTTTTCACTATTCATATTATGTATTTGTGGTAGTTATAAATTATTATAATTAATCTAAGCTGGGTTTTAATTTTAGAAAAATAAAAGTCTTTAATCTTTTTCATTAAGTTGGATACATAGGATGCTTGGAATTTTACTCTCTTTGAAGCAAAAAAAAATCTATTTTTGAATTAGAGAGCAGCGGAGTGACATCTGAATTGTTTCTATTAGTTAGGAAATTGATAAATGGATAATTGAAAGTTTATGAAGTTAATGGCAGTGGAATCCGATACCTTAGTATTCTTCTTTATTAATTTCAATCTCCTTATTTTGATTCTATTATTGTATTCCTAGTATTAAAAATCCACTCTTTCCAAGCAAATTGGATTACTAGGTTAGACTTAAATTAGTTTTGATTCGCATTAGTTTTTCTTAAAAGCATTCCCTTCGATTCAACCTTGCTCTTGCATTTTCTATACTACAATAAATTCATGCACTTGCGAGTTACATTTTATTTTAAACATCACGAACCAAATGGTCGAATCTATTCTTGGCATATTTGATACGAAGGTAAATTATACTCAAACCCCCTGAAGTTAGGTCATATCTCAAGTAGATGAAGATTTTGTTTTTAGATTTCACTCATATTTGAATTAGTGGTTTAACATTTCATTTACACCGTAAATGTCAATTTTTTGTGGGACCATAATACTTTTGAGGTATTAAATGACTATGCTACCCTTTGACCTCCCGTTGACTATTTTTGTGACCAAACTACCCCTAACATATACACCTTTCTTCTTCCTTCTCCTCCTCCTCACACCTTCATCTAATTCACCCCTCAACTCCACCCATTAATCTCATCCATATATATATATATATATATATATATATATATATATATATATATATATACACACACACACACGCAGATCCACACACACACACACACATATATATATAAATATATATATACATACACACACATCAATCTCAATCTATTATACACACACACACACACACACACACACACACACATATATATATATCTACCTATATATATACGGCGGCTGCGAATCAGGGTACCACTGACGGTATCGATGGCTTGTGGGTTGTGGATTAGAGGTGGCGGTGGCTAGATCTCGATGCCAAGATTGCGAACAAAGTATCAATGGGTTTGTGAAAGGGAATTGAGATCCACTCTTTTCGCCTTATACAATGGGTCTGTGAATGGGAATCGGTGATATTCGGCGATGTATGATGTCGGTGAGTAATGGGATCAATGTTTTTCGCCTTCTTCAGCCCCCTTTTATTAGGAATTGGAATGGGGAAGAAGCATAAAAATCCAGTGATGTCTCCAACGGACAACTGGGTTTTCTGGTCTTAGGTTTAAGAATATGTTAAACGGGTATGTAAATGAGGGTTCGTGAGTGGTCGAGTGGACGGCGAGATTAAAGAGTGTTACTTGGAGGACACCGGCATGACTGTTCGGTGGGAATCGAAGAGTCGGGGTATTGTTGTCACTGAGATGCTTCATTGACGGCGAAACCACCATTAAAGCGAAAACAAACAGAAAGGTCCAAACTACATCGAACAGTTCAAGCAATTGAGACCTACCATGCGCTAGACGCTCCGAGCCTTCATGTCACCGAGCCTTCACGTTGTTGAGCCTTCACTGCCGTCCCGTCCTTCTTGCTCAATGACAACTCAATCGATGTGGCAGTGGAAACTGTTAATGGAGGAAACGAGTTTGTAGCGGTAAAAGGCCTATGAGGCGGCAAGGATATGGCGCGATTCCAGCAATGAGGTTGCTCGGTATCGAGATCCGTCCACTCGACCACCATTTTTGCCAACAAATCCTTTTCTTACCGTTCAGCTCAGGGTTTGCAATCTTAGTCGTATCCTTGCCGTCGCTGAAACTCAAAATTGTAGAAGGGCATTTATGTCATTTGAAATTAAAGATATTTTGTATTAAAATGTTGAAGGTAAAAGGATCAATTTGCATGTGTTTGAGGCCAAAAAGTAAATTGGGGTGTAAGTGAAATTAAAAACAAAATCTTCATCTAGCGAAAAATGACCTGATATCAGGAGATAATAATTTACCCTTGATACTATTATTTGTGGACATTATTCTGTGGCTTGCTGAGTAGGGTGCTAAAGTTTCCAAACAGAGTTTGTCCTTGTTCGATTCTCTCTTTCCTAATAAAAATAAAAATAATAATAATAATAAATAAATATATATATATATATATATATATATATATATATATATAAAATACCACTATTTGTCAAGAGTTTGTTACAAAATATGGAATAATCAATGTGAACATGCTTCCTCGAATATAAAATATATAATGTCATTAAGAGTACAGTGGTGCTGGTAAGGATGGTTTCGCTTTCGAACTGCACTCCTAACTCGAATTTTTAAAATTTTAATTTAATTTATTTCATAATTTTTAATTATTAAAAGTGAGTATTTAATTCTAATTAGAGATTTATCCTTTAAGAAATGTTTAATGGTTTAGTTTCATATTGTGTGTGTGTGTGTGTGTATATATATATATGTAATGCAAAGGTGATAAGAAGGGGGAGTGGACAGGTCAGCCCAAATGATGAGATAAGAAGGAAAAGTAAATGAGGAAGGAAAAATTGAATTGTGATGATGCATTAGTGGCGAGTTCCATGGGTTTGAATTGATTTGTCCTTGTATGATATATAGATATATATATTGTGTTGTTTGATGAAGAGAGGGAGCATGCAGCCGAATTGGGAGGAGAAAAGTAGACTTTGTTGCGTCGGTGGCGGTTCCCACTAAAGAGTTTTTGTTTGGCTTTGAATTGTTCACGTGTGTGCTGTTTAGGGTGAGATTGTTTTATTTGTATGTGGAAATAAAAGAAAAAAACAAATAAAGAAAAGAGGAAAAAGAGTGGAGGTCGGCCGAAGGTGAGAAAAATTTGTGACGATGGTGTACCAGCGGGGCCCACAATGATATTATTTGGACATGTCTTTTTGGCTTTGTTTTTGCACATGGTTTATTTGGACTTCACGTGTGTTGATTAACTTTGTGAGAAAAAGTTTGTCCTTGGTTGATATTTGTATATTGTGTCGGGGAATGCATTTGTCTGAGTGTCTGGCACTAAGTTAGTATGCAGAGAAGGGATTTAGACACAAAAAAAAAAAAAAAAAGTAAAATAAAATAAAATTGAGATGGCAGTGTGAGAACCGAGAGTTCACAGGGTCGAGATTTCAGAAAGGGTAGGAGGCTTGAGGCTTTGATAATCAAATGAAGAAATTTTTTTTTTAGTGTTGAGTTGTTTATGCCTCGAATGATTTGGGGTGGTTTTGTTTTAAATAATTTTTATTAAATATTTTAATTAAATATATTTGTTATTTTGTTTATATATTTACACTAATATGTATATTTTGTGAAGTTATCTTATTAAACTTTTATAAAATTCTTGTTATAGTTTTTCGTATTGGGACTTTCCGTCTTACCACTCCCCAATTTCAGGTACCAAAGATGAACATGAATTATTAGTTTTGGGCTTAAATGGAAGAGTTGGCATTGCGAGACTTAATGTATTTATTTGGAGAATTTTGTGTATATTTGAGAAATTGATTTTTTTTTTTTATTTATAAAAAAGGACATTTTATTTTTAATGATACTATGTATATTTTGATGTATTTAGGTTTGTATGAATCGAGAATTTTGTTAAATTTTCGAGTCGTGACAATATATATATATATATATAATTACATGTTACCTCAAATATGATACAATGTGAACAGGACAAGGTCATGTGGCCAAATTTGACACTACCGGACACCACTCTGTTTTGAATTTTTAAAGTACAAATTGCCATGATTTGAAGTCTTCCATAAATTGGTTTAAAGTCGAGTCGTTTTTTTAAAATGAGGTGCTACCAACTGTGGAATCTTAATGGGTAATCAACTGATCATGTCGGTTTCGTGGTATGACCTTGATCCAATTTTCGCATAAACAACATTTTTCTTCTTAAATATGTTTAAAGAAAATGTTAAATTGCACTCTACTACCTAATACATTTTCTTTTTTAATAATTAAAAAAAAACATTATCAATTTATCAAAATTAGCAAATTACCCACCCAGACAGAAGTTTAAATACCACTACAACAAATTATGCTTTTCGCCATGAAATATCTTATGGCCAAAAGCCCATTATTTGTGGTAAAACATTAGATGCTACAAAAACAATTTATGGCGAGGTCGTGCCCACAAGTCCGTGAGGAATTGTTTTTAAATACAAAAATTAAAAGGTTTCGTGGCAAAACTATATTGGCCACAATTTTATTTTCGTGGCAATTTTTTTTGGCTTCCGGCATAATTTTTTATTTGTGCCCAAAAGGTCATTTTAGCTTCATGGTAAAACTTTTGTGGCTAAATCACAAATTTGTTGGAGTGAACGGTGTTATACTAGCTTTGTACAACACGTAATACACAAGCCTAATTATTTTGATGAAAATACTCTTACACATTTAACAAACACCCCCAGTGGCCTCAACTTTTCACTTGTAAAATTAATTTTCAAGGGTAAATTGAGTATGTTTGTTGCCAAAACAAATAATAGAAGTTATTTTGCAACTTTTTTAATAGTATAAGAAATTTAGTGCAATTTGGCCTAAATGTTACTTCAAAGATGCTTTCACTGTTAAACTCTATTCTTATTATAGAGTATATATATAGTTCGCTAAAAAGATGGATTCGAAAATGGACTTGGATCATTTAAGTTAAATTTTTTATAAACTATTCTGAATTGAATTTGTTAGAGATTGACACATGGTTTTTAAATTTACCTATTATTTATGTTAAATTACATCAATTAATTTAAAAAAAATTTAAAAATTGTACCGTTTTAAAATAAGAAAAATTTACTAAAATTTAAAAACTAATTTCACAGCTTAGCACATATATACGTCTGTACATATATATGTATATGTACACACACATCCAAACTTAAGTACCACCACCATCGCACCGACGCTAAACCAACACCATATCAAAGCTTGTGATTCAACCAAGATTCCAGACAACGGGAACGACCAGTGGAAGCTTCGACGAAGGCGACGATCATACCAGACAACGGTGACGGCTAGAGAAGTTCCGGACAACGACCCGATGTTGAGGCTCCGACGAGAAGAACGATGATGGTGGTGGTGGTTCGATTAATCACAATCTATATATTCATAGGCACACATATATATATATATATAGGAAGAAGATAGATTACAGGAATTTGGGGGAAGAAGATGGATTACGAGTTATAAATACACATATATTAATTTGCTCCTTCAATTTTAATTTGATTTATACAGCTTTTTTTATAAGATAGTTTCAGTGTTAAATTAACAGCTTGTTTTATAAGATTGGTTCAGTGTTAATTTTATTTATACAACTTGTTTCAATTTTAATTTGATTTATACAGATCATTTCAGTGTTAATTAAGTTACAATTTGATTTTTACAGCTAGTTTGGCACATGTTTTAGTCTTTATACTAATTGAAACCCATTTTGCCATGGTTCACTTTGATTGGTCACTCTCTGCCATTTTTGGTTCTCATCCTCCATTCTTCCATTGCCCTCTGTATTGCTTTTGGCATCTCTTCTTCTGTTAAAAAAAATAAAATCAGAACCTCTTTTCTCTAAGTCGAGCACCATGGTGGTGGTGGCGGTGGCGGCAGCTATGGTAGGGCTGTGAAATGGTGGTGGTGGCTGTGAACTGGTTGTGGTGGCTGTTGATTTGGTAGGGTTACTAGGGTACTTTGGTCAATAAAAAAGAATGGTATTTGATATCTTTGATAACTTTATCAAATCTAAGGATGTCTTTGTGCAAAAATAAATTGAGTGTTATATAATTGTTAATATAGCAAATTTCACGAAATGTCATTATAATTAATCCAAATTATTGAGAAGTTTGAATTTGATCTACAATCTCCTGTATTCAGATTCTCGCATATACTCTCATAAAACTCTTTGACGCACATCAAGTTCACAAACTTTTGAATTCTATAAACTTATATATTTCATTACGTAACACCATGAGTATTGATCATCATTTGTCAATAATCAAGACAATGGACTTAGCAAAAAAAAATTTTAAAAATAATAATCAGAGAATTAACACAATAACATAGCCGAAATTTGATTAGGGAGCACATTAGCACATGATAAAATAATTTTTTAGTAAAAAAAAATGAAGACGAAGAAGAGTAAGAAGGAGAAAAAATGAAAGAATTAGAAGGATTTTTTAATTTTTAATTTTTTTTTTTTAGAAGGTCATTTGGTATAATTTAATAAACTAAGGCATAAAATGTAAAATAAAAAATAAAAAAATTACCACTATTAAATTTCACAAAAATTGGAAAATAAATAGGTGAAATTTTGGACATGTTTAGAAAAATGAACCAAGTAAAATGTTTGTTCAATTTTTTAATTTTTAATTATTCAAAAATAAAAAATTATATATTTTTTAGCTGAATCCGTTTTCTAAAAATTGAATCAAAGTAAAATTTTTCTACAGTTTTTTAATTTTTTATTATCCAAAAATAAAAATTAATTTTTGAGGTGAAACTACTGCAGAAATAACGTAAATCCTAACTAATGAGAACTTTGAAGCAACATGTAGCGAATATTCATTCTTATTTTCTTTTTGTAAATATGTCCATTCCTTTTTCACTATAAATGTCTGATTCAAATATTCATTCTCTTCTCCTTGTGTAGATTTCATGGATGTGATACAATGACAAAGATAGGCAAGTTAGAAACTACTGTAGAACTTAGTGTCCAGTTATACAATTAGATACTATAATCATATACTATAAGATGAAGCCATATTGGTTCCAGAGGTGTTAAAATGGGATGGAGCTATCTGGGCACTGCTTGCTTTTCCAATAATGTAAATTTGAGATGTCCTCACTTTCTCTCACTAGTTTCTCTCACTAGAAACATCATAAGTACCTCTTTGCTTGAAATTCAACAATTCCATTCTCACTTGAATTACTCTTCAGAATCCTATCGAATTGAATACCCAAAACCCAACTTGTTGAATTCTTCGACTAGTGAATTGACAGTAGAGATCATTCATGCCAAAGTTATAAAAAAGGGATCTGTCCAACAGTTGCAAGTGGGGAACTATGTTTTGAATCTATATGTAAAATCTCAGAACTTGGGTCATGCACAAAAGGTGTTTGATGAAATTCCTGATAGAGATGTTCGGTCTTGGACGATTCTTATTTCTGGTTTTACTCGAATTGGGTTATCTAAAATGGCATTGGATGTCTTTACTAAGATGCAGAGAGAAGGCATTAGTCCGAATCAGTTTACTTTCTCGAGCATTTTGAAGTGTTGTTCTAGTGTAAATGATGTTCGATTGGGTAAGGTGATTCTTGGGTGGATGCTGCGTGATGGCATTGGTTTAGATATGGCGTTGGCGAACTCTATCCTTGATCATTATGCAAAATGTGGGGTGTTTAACTATGCCGAAAGATTATTTGAATTACTGGCTGAGAAAGATACCGTGTCATGGAACATAATGCTTGGTGGGTATTTGCATATTGGAGATACAGTGAAGTCTCTTGATTTGTTCAGAAGGTTGCCTTTCAAAGATGCCGTGAGTTGGAATACGGTTATAGATGGGCATATGCGAAATGGGTTGAAAGGAATTGCATTGAATCTTCTATACGAGATGGTAGAAGTTGGACCTATGTTTAATGAAATTACTTTTAGCATAGCTTTGGTCTTGGCTGCTTCTTTATCAATTTTGGAACTGGGGAAACAACTTCATGGCAGGGTGCTGAGGGTTGGGATCCATGAAGATGGTTTAGTAAGGAATTCAGTTATTGACATGTATTGCAAATGTGGGCAAATGGAGAAGGCATCAGTGAATTTCCGAAATCTGCCTCAAGATTTTGTGAGAACACGTGATTCCAAGTTCTCTTCAGATGAATCGATAGTGAGATCTGTTTCATGGAGTTCAATGGTTAGTGGGTTCGTTCAAAATGGTAGATTGGAAGAGGCTTTGAAATTTTTTTGCACTATGGTTTATGAACAGGTCGAGGTGGACAAATTCACTCTCACAAGCATTGTTTCTGCATGTGCTAATGCTGGGCTTTTGGAGCTTGGTCAGCAGATCCATGCCCATATTCTGAAAATTGGGCACAAACCTGATGTTTTCTTGGGTTCGTCAATGGTTGACATGTACGCCAAATGTGGAAAGTTAAATGATGCTTGGTTGATTTTCATACAAACAAAGGTTCAAAATGTTGTGTTGTGGACTTCAATGATATCTAGTTATGCTTTACATGGGCAAGGAAGGGAGGCGATTTCGCTTTTCGAGTTGATGTTGAATGAGGGGATTACACCGAATGAAGTGAGTTTTGTAGGGGTTTTAACTGCATGTAGTCATGCAGGTTTGGAAAAAGAAGGCTGCAGATATTTTAGGTTGATGAATGAAGCGTATGGAATCAAGCCTGGAGTTGAACACTTCACTTGCATGGTAGATCTTTTTGGCCGAGCTGGTCGTTTCGAGGAGATAAAGGATTTTATTTATAAGAATGGTATCTCTCATCTGAGTGCGGTTTGGAGAGCATTATTATCTTCTTGCAGAGTTCACAGAAAGGCTGAGATGGCTCGGTGGGTTTCTGAGAAACTACTTGAACTTGAACCATTTGAAGCCGGACCTTATATCTTGTTATCGAACACTTGTGCTACTAACCACAAATGGGTTGAGGCTGCTAAACTGAGGGCTTTAATGCAAGAAAGGGGAGTTAAAAAACGTCCCGGTCTATCTTGGATTCAACTGAAGAATCAAGTCCATACTTTTGTCATGGGAGATAGGTCTCATCCCCAAGAAGCTGAAATTTATTCTTGCTTAGACAAGCTAATTGAAGAATTAAAGGGGATTGGGTATTCAAATGACGCAAATCAGGTGATGCAAGATGTAGAAGAAGAACAAAAAGAAGTAATTCTTGGTTTCCACAGTGAGAAACTTGCAGTTGCATATGGTCTTATTAGCACAAGTTGCGGAACACCTCTTCGAGTTATGAAAAACCTCAGAATTTGTACTGACTGTCATAACTTCGTGAAGTGCACTTCTCAGCTTTTAAATAGGGAAATAGTTGTTAGAGATATTCATCGATTTCATCATTTCAAGGATGGGCACTGTTCTTGCGGAGACTACTGGTAAATACAACAAGGGATACTCACGCATGTGAAACTTACGAGTCATAAGCTATGGATCATTCTGGAAGGCTGCATGGGCCTTTTTAGATGACCCGCAAAGCCACGGGACACAATGGAATGGTTCAACCTGAACCAACACCAAAGGCACCTATTCAAATGGGGTGCACTGGTTCACACCAAGTACAATCATTCATAAGCCCAGCCCAATTCAAAACAATGAAACTCACTAGAGTAAGCCTAGCCCAAAATAAAATTAAAGCAAACACAAGGCCCAATTCAAAAATTCCGTTTAAATAAAAAAATTAATCGGATTTTAAGCCCAAGCCCAAACCGGGTCGGGCCGGGCGCGCGTGGTATATGGCTTGAACCCAAGCTTGCCTAGGTCTTCCCCGTCTTAAAAACTTGGGTGTCCTTGGGCCAAATTCCAAACTTAGATTATATAAACTCCAATTGATTTTACTTTATTTTGAATGTGAGACAATCACTTCCCACATTTTGTTTACCAATTTAAGCTTATCAAACACCTTACTTTGGAGCTAATTTCTCATTCATTAGAAAACGAATTTGAGAAAGTAAATATATCACGTTCATCTCTTTATGGAAAGGAACACGTTCATCTATAGATCCGCAAGAAATTCTTAGCGGGATCTACTCAAAATTACGCCTAAAGTTTATGTGTGTATGTTCCGTTTCCAACAATATGTATGCATATACAAAGTATGTGTTATCTATTGTATGAATATTGTATTTAATTATTATGTTGTGGGGGGTTTATTCAGAGATATGGATGAGTTGTCATGGCATAAACAGATTGTCATTGAATTGTATGAACAAAATACATACGTTAATAGCATGGAGAATTTGCTATTCTATAGTATGGACAAAGTTAGATCTCTGAAGTTTAACTTGGTTTACTGTATTTATCAGGCTCCACAATACCCCATCACTTCACTCTTGATTTAAAAAAATAATATATATATATATATATATATATATATATATATCCCAATAAAATTTCACAAAAATTGGAAAATAAATAGATGAAATTTTATCACTCTGTTGAAAGTGATTAAATTCACTAATGCAGGGATATCGTAAATTGTAACTGATGAGGATTTTGAAGCAACATGGAGAGAATATTCATTCTTATTTTCTTTTTTGTAAGTATGTTCATTCCTTTTTAGGTTAAGTGCAAAAAAATCCCTTTACTATCGATATCGTGCAAAACAATCCCTGTATGGTATAAAAACCCCTTATACTATCAATTTGGTGCAATTACCCCCATATTCACATAAAAAGATATTAATACCCTCTCTAATATAAATAAAAGGGTTATGTGCAAAAAAAAAAAAAAAAAACCATAATATATAGGGTTTATGCAAAAATAGTCCATACTTTTTGAAAATATGCATTTCAATCCATAAAATTAAAAAAAGGTGCAAATAAGCCCCTCTGGCCACTTTTTGGTCAAAATTGACGTAAAATAAATTTTAAAACCCTATTTTGCCCTTTTTCTTTTCCTATTCTACCCTTCTCTCCTACGCTCCACCACCATTCTCACCACCACCACCACTATGTTTATTCTGGCCATTCAATTCAACCCCATAGCCAAAGTTCAGTGCCGAACTGTTGAGTTAACTCAGTGTGTCATTAAACAAAGCCACATCACAAACCCAGTTGTTGGCGACGGTGAAGGACGGCGAGCTTGGGACGCCGTTAATGTGTCATCGGTGATGGCAATTGATGAGAAGGGTCTGGATTTGTTGGTGTTTGCCGTTAGGTAAAGATGAGAGCTTACCGCTGGAGTTTGGTTGACGGTGAAAGGTTGAGGTCTTATTCTACAACGATGAGACAACGGATGGTGAACCTCATGAGGTGGTTCCAACGTGGCTGCCTCTGCCCCTTCCTCTCTCTCCATCGCCTTTACCGCCACCACAACTTTTAAAGCCGCGGCCACCTCTAGGGCATCCGAGGCTTCTTCCTCCTCTGAAGCCCCTTCCTTCTCTCCCTCTATCACTTCTACCGCAGCCGCCTCTGCCCCTTCTTCTCCCTCCATCACCTCTACCACCACCATGGCTTTTAAAGTCGTCGCCACCTTTGGGGCCTCCGAAGCCCCTTTCTCCACTCCCTCCATCACCTCAGCCGCCTCTAAACCTTCCACCATCACGACCTATAAATCAATCAACCAAATACAAAGGAAAAAAAAAAGGGGGAAAAAGAAAAGAATAAATTATCTAAAATGATAATTTTACATTGCCTAATTTTTTTAATATTATTTCATTTATATTAGAGAGGATATTAATGTCTTTTTATGCGAACATGGGTGTAATTGCACCAAATTGATAGTATAGGGGAGTTTTATACCACAGAGGGATTGTTTTGCATTATATCGATAGTAGATGGGGTTTTTTTGCACTTAACCCAAGGGCAAATTAAATAGGGTTTTTGAATTTATTTTATGTCAGAGGGACTTATTTGTAACTTTTTTGAATTGTTTGGACTGAAATATACATTTTTAAAAAATATGGACCTTATATGTCACAGTGAGTGTGTTTTTTTTTTTTTTTTCGGCACTCAACCATTCCTTTTTCATCACTAAAAGCTATAAATGTAACCTTTGATTCTTTTCTCCTTGCGCTAGATTTCATGAATGTGATACAATGACCAAGGTTAAGTTAGAAACTAGAACTTAGTATCCGGTTATACAATTAGATACTATAATCATATATAAGATGAAGCCATATTGGTTGCAGAGGTGTTAAAAATGGGATGGAGGTATCTGGGCACTGCTTGCTTTTCCAGTAATGTAAATTTAACATGTCCTCACTTTCTCTCACTAGAAACATCATACGCACCTCTTTGCTTGAAATTAAACAATTCCAATCTTCCTGGAATTACTCTTCAGCATCCTATCAAATTGAATACCCCAAACCAAACTTATTGAATTCTTCGAATAGTGAATTGACAGTTGAGATCATTCATGCCAAAGTTATGAAAAACGGTTCTGTTCAACAGTTGCAAGTGGGGAACTATGTTTTGAATCTGTATGTAAAATCCCAGAACTTGGGTCATGCACAAAAGATGTTTGATGAAATTCCTGGTAGAGATGTTCGATCTTGGACTATTCTTATTTCTGGTTTTACTCGAATTGGGTTATCTGAAATGGCATTGGATGTCTTTACTGAGATGCAGAAGGAAGGCATTAGTCCGAATCAGTTTACTTTCTCGAGCATTTTGAAGTGCTGTTCTAGTGTAAATGATGTTCGATTGGGTAAGGCGATTCATGGGTGGATACTGCGTGATGGCATTGGTTTAGATATGGCGTTGGCGAACTCTATCCTTGATCTTTATGCAAAATGTGGGGTGTTTAACTATGCCGAAAGATTATTTGAATTACTGGCTGAGAAAGATTCCGTGTCATGGAACATAATGATTGGTGGGTGTTTGCAGATTGGAGATACAATGAAGTCTCTTGATTTGTTCAGAAGGTTGCCTTTCAAAGATGTCGTGAGTTGGAATACGGTTATAGATGGGCATATGCGAAATGGGTTGGAAGGAATTGCATTGAATCTTCTATACGAGATGGTAGAAGTTGGACCTATGTTTAATGAAATTACTTTTAGCATAGCTTTGGTCTTGGCTGCTTCTTTATCAATTTTGGAACTGGGGAAACAACTTCATGGCAGGGTGCTGAGGGTTGGAATCCATGAAGATGGTTTTGTAAGGAATTCAGTTATTGACATGTATTGCAAATGTGGGCAAATGGAGAAGGCATCAGTGAATTTCCGAAATTTGCCTCAAGATTTTGTGAGAACACGTGATTCCAAGTTCTCTTCAGATGAATCGATAGTGAAATCTGTTTCATGGAGTTCAATGGTTAGTGGGTTCGTTCAAAATGGTAGATTGGAAGAGGCTTTGAAATTTTTTTGCACTATGGTTTATGAACAGGTTGAGATGGACAAATTCACTCTCACAAGCATTGTTTCTGCATGTGCTAATGCTGGGCTTTTGGAGCTTGGTCAGCAGATCCATGCCCATATTCTGAAAACTGGGCACAAACCTGATGTTTTCTTGGGTTCATCAATGGTTGACATGTACGCCAAATGTGGAAAGTTAAATGATGCTTGGTTGATTTTCATACAAACAAAGGTTCAAAATGTTGTGTTGTGGACTTCAATGATATCTAGTTATGCTTTACATGGGCAAGGAAGGGAGGCGATTTCGCTTTTCGAGTTGATGTTGAATGAGGGGATTACACCGAATGAAGTGAGTTTTGTAGGGGTTTTAACTGCATGTAGTCATGCAGGTTTGGAAAAAGAAGGCTGCAGATATTTTAGGTTGATGAATGAAGCGTATGGAATCAAGCCTGGAGTTGAACACTTCACTTGCATGGTAGATCTTTTTGGCCGAGCTGGTCGTTTCGAGGAGATAAAGGATTTTATTTATAAGAATGGTATCTCTCATCTGAGTGCGGTTTGGAGAGCATTTTTATCTTCTTGCAGAGTTCACAGAAAGGCTGAGATGGCTCGGTGGGTTTGTGAGAAACTTCTTGAACTTGAACCATTTGAAGCTGGACCATATATTTTGTTATCGAACACTTGTGCTACTAACCACAAATGGGATGAGGCTGCTAAACTGAGGGCTTTAATGCAAGAAAGGGGAGTTAAAAAACGTCCGGGTCTATCTTGGATTCAATTGAAGAATCAAGTCCATACTTTTGTTATGGGAGATAGGTCCCATCTCCAAGAAGCTGAAATTTATTCTTACTTAGACAAGCTAATTGAAGAATTAAAGGAGATCGGGTATTCAAATGACGCAAATCAGGTGATGCAAGATGTAGAAGAAGAACAAAAGGAAGTAATTCTTGGTTTCCACAGTGAGAAACTTGCAGTTGCATATGGTCTTATTAGCACAAGTTGTGGAACACATCTTCGAGTTATGAAAAACCTCAGAATTTGTACTGACTGTCATAACTTCATGAAGTACACTTCTCAGCTTTTAAATAGGGAAATAGTTGTTAGAGATATTCATCGATTTCATCATTTCAAGGATGGGCACTGTTCTTGCGGAGACTACTGGTAAATACAACAAGGGATACTCACACATGTGAAACTTACGAGTCATAAGCTATGGATCATTCTGGAAGGCTTCGGATTTGATAAACATGACAGACAAACAGCATATCAAAGTAATGATCCAGATTGTAGGATTGCAGTTGAGGTTGCTGCAGAGAGATGGTGAAGGAGAATAACAAGCTATCTAGTTTTTCTAGATGAACTGTAATGCTTAGCAGGTAATTTGCAATGCATTATATAAGTTGTCTCCCATTGGAACTGTAACAACCGTGATTTTTAACACTCATATTAGTTAACTTTGTGTTACATATACAACCCTGATTTTTAACACTCATATTAGTTAACTTTGTTTTATATATATATATATATATAAAGGAGAGAAAGTTATGATAAGGAATGATTAGGTTATTTGACGGAGATAACTCTATCATTCAGTTTAGTTTGATTTTTAAAGAGTTCTTATTGAACTCAACCATTAGTTATATATCTGAACTTAGTGTATCGGCATTGTATTACCTACGATACTATTCTGTGAATTTTAGACGACCATTCAAAGAAATGAAGAATCTTACTATTATGTGAATTTTACACGACCATTCAAAGAAATGAAGAATCTTAAACAGATTTCTTTTTCAGGCAAGTTAATTCTTGCTTGTAACCTTGTATTTATTTATGTCTTATTTGTTAAATTATTATGTATGATTTAACGGTAAAACTTATGATTGGTATAGTTATTTTTTTAGCCAGAGATATGGAGATTATACATGGAGTTACTAATTGATTAAAATTTATATTTATTTCATTATTTCTTTTTGTTGTCAAAATTGATTATTTAATCATGATTGGTGAAAGACAAAGTATACACATTTATTGTTGAAGGCAGAAGCCATACTAGAAGTGAGGAGATATATACTATCAAAGGTTCATGCATATGGGTTAATTGGAGTTTCAGTGTAGCTTAGATTTCTAATGATTGATTTTGGGGTTATTGATATGTTGTGTTTTAGTGTTAGTTTAGTAAAGAAGAGAAAATGGTATGATGGTGGCGGGCCACCAGGAGTTTTTGGCCAAAAGTCAGAGCTGTTTTTGTTTGTTAAACTGAATTCGAAAGAATGAATTAAGGGTAATGTTGGTGGCGGGACCATGGGGTATTATTCAGAGGGCATGATAATGAAGTTTAATTGGTAACGGATGCATCAGCATCAAAACAAGGACAACCAAAAGGAACAAGGACACAACCAAACAAGGAGGAACAGAAGGTGACGAGTCATGAGATTGACCTTCCAATTGTTCTGACACAGCTCTAACTAAGACAAGGGTTTTCTTGAAAATAGAGAACTACATATAATGTGTGCAGGATAATTGGTTTGTTTACAGAAGGTGAATTTGGGATCACTTGTATTATGTTTTGTCAATAATGAGTGGTGGCAGAATAGGATTGGAATCGGTACGAGGAATTGAGTGATATTGAGGTTGAAAATTAGAGTATATGTTTGCAACTTATCATAATTAGGACTATGAATTCGTACTAATATGTTGGTATTTATTTATTAATTAAGGTGTTAAATAAATTCATGATATTATGAGTAAGAATTATTTAAATGTATTTAGTATTCAGATGTTATTGAGTTTAAATTTATAATTAATTAAGCCCAATGGCCATAACAAAAGCTATTTTTAAGTTAGTGTAATGGAGTTTGAATGCTTAATGTATAAGGTTGACTCAATTGCATAAGCGAAAATGCCCCCACAATATAATATGCATAATGTACTAACTCATTACACCTTCACAGACGACAATTGGATTATTAATTTCACTTTCTTTTTGGCACTTTATTTCTCGGTTGTTTTCTTCTTCTTCTTCCCCTTCTTCTTCCCCCTGCACCTCAACTGTTTATAAGACATTTGTATTTCTTTTTTCTTTTTCTTTTTTTTTTTTTTTTTTTTTAGTTTTGATTCTAAAATATGAATTTGTAGCTTGTTTCATGATCAAATTGAAGTTAAACCTTTAGATAATTTCAATTAAGAAATATGAATGATTTCTTATTTTTAAAATTTTCTTGTTTTCCTTTTCCAATGCTCCTTATTCTTCCCATAGTTTCGGAATTTGAAAAGGCCTACTGAAGTGTTATACAGGGGCGGAGCTAGAAAATTTTAATTGGGGGGCCAAATTGTAATGTAAAATTAAAATTTAAAAATAATATAAAAATATATATATATATTTTTGAAAGTTGAAGCAAACACCGTACCTCCACGAACCCCCGACCTTCCTTTGGAAAGAAAAGGATGATACCGGTGGGCCAATTGGTCCTTTGGTAATAATATAAAAATATTTGTAACAAATTTAATATAAGTTTTTAAACCATTGTATGTGGTCAAATTTAAATAATATAAACATATTGTTAAAAAAAAAAATTGTGCATTTTTTTATGTATATTGTTAAAAACGTGTCTGCAAATAGTATGCAAAGAAAATTGAAAAGAAGAGTTGTCTCGGATGAATAATTTTTTTTCCCACTCTTCTCATTCATAACAAATAATAGTTATGTATGTGTGTGTATGAATATGGTATGTTGTTATAAGGATTAATAATTTTTTTACTAAATTTGATTCTTTTAGTGTAAGAGGTGTTTAAAAAAATTGGGTTGCAAGTTTAGGCTAAATTACCTAAACCCGCCCCTGGTGTTATCCACATGCATTGCAAGTGAAGTGTAATTTATCTTTTTTCTTTTCTTTTTTTATTTCTTTTTTTTTTTTTTTTGGATAGGTAATTTAGCCTAAACTTTGGCTATTATAATTTCTATTTCATCCCTCCTGTTGATGAATTAATGCTACTAATTTGATAATAAAAAAAAAAAGTATACTGATCTGTTTTACTAAAGCAAAAAACCCTGACTGTAATTTCATTATAAAAGTGAAGATTTAATAGTAGCTATTCAGACAATAATTATGTTACTTTTAAAAATAAAAAACTGACTGAAACATTGATGTCATGCTTTGCAGATTTGAGGTCATGGTATATAGAAAACTTACAGTGGATTCAAGTAAGCTATTCTTTTTAACTGTGTGTATTACAATAATTTCCAATTCAATATCTTTAGTGAATGGTGCAGCTAATCAATATTTTCCTTGAAGAATTACATACTCAAGTTGCGGTAAATACTCGATGTGTTTACTTTACTTTAATTACCAGCATGGTAGACCAGGTGGTGTCAGGTTTGATCTCAACCAAACTGTTGAATGTGTACCGCCCTATTAGACTGGCAAAAACAAGTGAGGATGAGTTTTAAAAATTGGAAATAACAATTTTTTTTTTTTTCATGAATTTTTTTTTTTTTTTTTTTTCGGAAGTTTAAATCAGGGAACTTATTTGTTACCATTTGAATTTTAATAGCTGAATTTATTAGCATCACTTAATAAATACAAATAATCGCATTATCATTCATGTTGTACATCAACTTTTTAGTCAAGTTTGGTCATAGGCATTAGGCCATCCACCATTAGAAAAAATTAATAAGAAATATATTTTCTTTATTCAGATAACATTGAGAAGAGAAGAGAAAAAAAAAAAAAAAAAAAAAAATACTTCTATTATTACAGCTCAAACAAATACTCTCTCTCATATTTGGAGGTAGTTGCTTACCAATGACCTCCCTCCTATATAAGCCTCATATCTAGAGTACAAATATTATAATTAACTTTGCAAAATTTTCTATACTCTTATAATCTTCTTCACACAATATTTACAAGCTTTCAAACATTCTAGTCCTAACTCTCTCTACACTCTGGACAATCTCCAGACAAATGTGAATGAATCCATTGAAAGTCCCTTGTAAGTCTGATGATCAAAAGGGTAATCGAGGGGCACGATGAAATCACGTGGTTTCACTGATGAAATGGAATGCTCGTGAATAACCTCCACAAGCTAGCACTGCATGAAACAAGAATGCTTTAGGGTTGATTGTATCTCCAAACCTGGGTTTCCTTACGTGAACTCAACCCGGGTTTTCGCAGCTTCTAGCTTGCTCTCGCTCGGCTCAATCCCCTCAACTGTTCCTCCAGGAGAGACTTGTACCGCTCATCCCACGTAGGGTACTTAGCTCTATTGTCATTTTTTCTACGCGGTTTTATATATGAATGCTGCTCCAACCTTCTTGGTCTGGTCCTTGAGAAAGTAGAACAAATCAAGGGTCATGACCATCTTGTTTTCCACCATCCCGGGCAGTGGATCACGGTAAATTGATCCCTCCATAGGAAGATACACGACGCTGCTACTAGACGCGCCACCATGTTGAGTGCAGTTGCTATATATGTACATCATCCTCGTCGTTGGATTCACAATTGAGTTTGAATCAAAAGGGCAATGGAGAAGAGCACGTCGTAATCACGTGATTTTGCTGACGAAATGGAATGTTCATGCGTAACTTTTCAAGTACTGCATGAAATAGGAATGCTTTAGGGTTGATTGTATGTCCAAACTTTGGTTACCCTTCATGAACGACTTTTAGCAGCTTCAAGCTTGCTCACGAGTACACACGGCTTAATCTTGAATCCCCTCGAGTGTTCCTCGAGAAGGGAGTTGTACTACTGGACTTTGGAAGACGATAAAGTACTACCGGACTACAAGGACCCTAAGAGAGGTTGAGGTCGAGACCAAAGAGTGAGAAGAACTTGGTTAAGGCAGTTGTAAAAACCTGAACAGATTCAAGGTTACCATAGGACAAAAGCAAGATGTGATAGCAAAAATCAAGTGAAATAAGGAGAGTTTGCTACATCTCCAATGAAATTTGAACGTTGGATTCGATGAAATGGTGGAGCAAATCACAGATGATAATGTCTCCATTCCAAGCACAAAGAGAAGAGGTAAGATGGGATAAGAGGCCGTTGAGATACACATATGATATAAAAGATTCAAAGATTTTATATTGTTAAATGGGCCCAAATGAATTAGCTAACTGAGGGCTAAATTTACCTTCGAGTGTAAAATTAGACCCCAGCAGACCTTAGTTTATTAGAGATTTAGAGAGAATCTGTTTCGCGCGCAGTCGCAAATCAGATCAACCTTTGGGACAAATTATACCTAAAAGCCATCAATACAATCATGATAATATTGGACTTTATTAAGAAAGAACAACAAATTAACACACTTCCATTATAACCGATTAATAGCGTAGTACACAGTTCCATCAGAAGTTTCATCCATGATCATAAATAGACAAATTCTCAAATTAAAGCATTACAAGTGTGTAACTTACTAGCCACGAAAGGCAAATACAGCCGCCAATGGAGAAGCATCCTCAAACACATAACTCGCCTCTAGATATCAGAATTCCATCAGTGTCTGCATAAAGCCATTCCCCATCGCAGATTCTAGTCCCAGCAATGGTAATCGGAACATGTTTTTCTCCCAGTCCCTTCTTATTAGCTTTCATCGGATGGGAAGCAAGAGCTCTCACCCCAATATCACAACCGTTGATTTCATCAACATCTCTTATACAGCCATTGACTACGATACCCGCCCATCCATTGTTCTGAGCTTGTACTACAGGATTGCCTCCCAATATTGCACACCTCAAACTTCCCCCTCCATCAACAACAAGAACTCTGCCATTACCTTTCTCCTCAAGGAACTCGCGAATCAAAACATTGTCTTCAAATACTTTGAGGGTGACTACTGGGCCAGAGAAGACTTGGCGCCGGCCATATATCTGGAAAACTGGCTGGAGAGCACGGAGCTCACCACTAACAATGAGCTGTGGGTTTGCATCACAAACTTCAGCAGTTGTGACCAATGCCATGATGTTATTTCGATCACCTTCAGGAAAGAATGGACATCATGTTTTTATTACATTGCTAACAAGAACATAGTACTTCTTTTTTTCCTCCAGAACATATTAAACTGAAGGATTCATAAGAAATTCACCATGTTTTCGAAAAAACGCTTTTCCAACTAGAATAAGAAGCCCTATACGGCAAAAGCTATATAACTAGAAATATATATAAATATTGATTAAAAAATATGACCATGCATCACATAGCTGGCTAAAATAGCAGTTTATCAGTTCCTTTTCAGGCATCAAGATGGTTCTGTAATCAAATTACAAATTGAAAATTTAGTAATAAAAAGTATCAAACATCATAGCTATCAATGGATAGACAAACCTCTTGCAAGATAAAAAATTTTGAAAATTCCAACTTATGTGAGAAACGCTATTATTGTATTGAGAGTACAGATAATTAACTTGAGAGTGACAGTTGATAACTGATCATACAACATCTAGGCATAAGCAACATATCAACAATTCTAATTGTTTCTTCCAAATAGTACATAACTCCTCTGCTGGGCCATGATTTGGATTTATGACATGATTTCCATTAAGAATGCTTGCTTCAGATGGTTCCATCTCTTCATCAACAGTTAATATCAGGGGTAAATAAAAAATAAAAATAATAAAAACAGAATGTGCCCAAGTATTTTGCAAAAAGAACCATCAACCATAGAGAGCCTTAATGAATGTTCAAGAAGATGAGAAGAAAGGTTGAAGACATGGTGAAAGTTGCACAGCCAATAGGTCAATTAGATTTTTTGACATGAGGACCTAAAGGTGGATGCATAGTTTCTTTTCAATTTAGATCTCTTATTTTTTCCATTAATCAATTATAATTAATAAATCTCAAGATAGTGAAAATAAAACCAACCAAACACATGACATTCAAAAGTTTTACATGTTAAACCCAACTCCCAAGCAGGAAAAACTGCAGCAGACTGGTCCAGAGCTTAATAATCCACTACGACAGGGAAAGAGTAAAAGACTGCAAACCTGAGAATCCAAATCCATTAATTTGCCTCCAACAACAACATTATCACTAGATACACTAAAATCTGGAAATCACCAGTCATTTCTACCCATCACTCCATCAGGCATCAACAACCTCATAGCCCTTGCATCCGTCTTCTCTTCACAGTGATCAACAGCAGATTCCACCCATTAATATGTATATTGCTCCAAGATAAGCAAAACTATAGATACAGCTTGTGGACATAACAACAGTTGCATCTAGAATGAAATTGAGGCACACATCACGAAGTGTCTAGACCTGATCCATCAACTTCTACAAATTTTCAATTTATAATGAACAAATCCACAAACCATTATCAGAGACATGACACAACCTTTTTTTGTGCAAAATAACCACCAGATGACCAAAATAACCCAAGAAATTCTCGCAACGCCTATTAATACCCCTTCCATTCCTTCATTGCACACTTCACATAATATAGATTAGTAAATTACCACTAGTCTTCCTCTCTGCAAGCTGAAGTATATACCTAAATTCTCTCCCTACAACCTTTCAAACACTCCAAGTATGCTCTTAAAGATTAGAGACATGAAGATCGACCGAGAAGAAAGAGAAGAAATAAGAGATACCTTTCCCATTTATTATTCTGATTGTATTTGCTAAATGAGGTAGAAATTTTTCCACAATTTAAATTTCCAAGTATTATCTCTTCTTCTACTCCTTGAAGCCTATGTTTATTTTGCGACCGTCTGCTCTTTTATAATCCAAAGAAGTTAATGCTTGACTTGTCATGGGGACTTTCAAAATTTTAAACAGATGTGAAGGAGAATAAGGAGGAAAAACCTTTCCTAAACAATAAACACCAAAGAATAAAAGGGACACCTTTTTTTATTAAAAAAAAAAAAACACACACACACAGACATACAAGACTTTAAAAAAATTAAAATAAAAAAGTTTTCTTGCTTATGAGCTTGATTTTATTTATTTTTTCCTTACATCTTTCTTTCTTACTTTGCTACAAGTAAACGAAGGTTTTTAACTTTCTCCACAATTAAAGTAGTTTTAATATTTTCTCTACTTCTATTTTTCTATAAAAAGGTTAATAACCATTTTTAACTCTCTCCATAAAAAGGTTAATAACTACTTATCAAAATATATATATACAAAAAGGTTAATAACCATTTTTCCTTGTTAAAGCAATCTTTGTTGTCCTTTTCAACATTATTTTTATTTTGAGTAATAAATAAGATGAAGGGATGGAGCTACAACTCTACAACATCAAAAGTCCATCCAATGAAAGCCAGGAGCAGTTTCAGTACTCTCTGCCAATTTTTCTTCCAGAAATGTGCTTTATTTGCTTCTTAAAATGATATTATTTTTTGAAAAACCTTTCCCCACTACTCATGCTTTCAAAAGTAGCCTCTGAGAAGGCCAATGGGTGGATATATTATCTCCATTTCTTAGAGAAGCCACCCAAGGGAAGTCTAATAGGGCCCTAATGCTACCTTCTCCTTTTAATATTCTGAAAACATTTTCTTCAAAACATTTTCATGCTTTTGGATGCGCATTTTTAATATTCCTATACCCTGCTCCAAACAACAAAAATTTGCCCCTAAGACTTGCTTCCGTTGCCTTTTCGAAAAAAAAAAATCTGTTTTCCATTTTTCTAAATATTTTGAAACACGTTTAGTGAAGCAATTTCTTTTCAAGCAGATCCACTACTTTGTTTCTCTTGTTTTTAAAAGAAAAAACAATCATGTGTAAATCCTCTTGAAGCCACTAAAGTTCAAAACAAGATGTTTCCAAAAACTCCATATCAAAACCATTTTTTCAACACACACTCAAACCATTTAGTTATAAAAAATATAAAAATAAAAAAAAATAAAAAATCTTCATTGTTCTTTTATCCCGACTCCTATTTTTCTAGTTGTGTGACGGCAAGAACCAAATCCACACATGAAAATGCTCCTTATGGACATTTCATCAAAAGCATTGTTTTTCCATTTACTTTCCAATCTTTCTTTAAGACCCTCTATTTTTCTTTTAATTTGCAAAGAACAAACTTTTAAATCCTAATTCTCTTTTAAATATATATATATATAGGTGCTAATCATTTTTATGGATGTTCGGCAGGTTGTCACCTTTTTCATGCATTATCAAGCCATCAAATCCATGATCATGATTGCACCGAAGAAAGGAGTCAATGAATGATATGTTGTAGTAACAAATTTCCAATCTACTCCTATTTGTGTGAAGAATAAATTAGTCATTTTCTTAAAAAAATAATAATAATAAATTAAAAAGTAAATTGTTATATCTGATAGAAAAAGCTTCTATTTGTTTTATTAAAATAAAAAATAAAAAAAATAAAAAAATCATACATTTATACCTTGGCCCTCTAAAGTAAAATACTTATCATAAAACAATAATAATAATAATAATAATATCCGCCACTTAAGATCACCAAAGATACAATTAAATCTAAGCTAATCAAGCCCATCTGATTGAAACAGTTGGGACAATGCCTTCACAAACTAATTTACCGGATCACTGTTTCGTAGGCCACCAATTTGATAACAAATCCGAACAAAATTACAAATAAACTAAGAAAAAAAACTTAGAACAAACGAAAGAATTAATTTTTTATTCATCGAAACAAATTGGAGCTCAAGATCGCAATAAATCAAAAGAGTAATGATAAATTACAACAATCTTATCAGCGAACAACAAACAAATTACCGACACAGATCCATCACAGAAAATACAATTCAATCAATAATTAGCGCTAAATCTGATTAATATCCGAGATTATCCGTAAAACAGCAAATCAGATCAGGATAAGTAATAAAATTTATCGGAAGAAAGAAACTTCAAACTTACCTTGAATTGAATCCCAATCACGATCAAACCCACAAACAAAGAGAAAGAAGATTGGTTTTGAGTGTGAAGTTGTGAGTGAGCTTCTCTCTCCTGAAAGTGGAAATGGAGAGAGAGATGGAGTTTTAGAGAGAGAGAGAGGAGAGAATCTGTGTTAGCTGTGAAGCGCGTGGGGTGACGTTGGAAAGTTACTGGGGGTAGTAGTGGGTTATGAGACCCTCTTGCGTATGCCTTTACAAACCAGAAACAACATATGTAAACAACCATATATGTGCAGCATATACATATATGCATATATATATATATATATAATTTTGGACCAATCCATAATTCACATAGCGTATGCAGAGTCCCTCCTAATTAGTTAGAAAAAATTACCTCACAAGAGTATTAATAAATTTACAAAAACAAAATTTATAAAAGATTTGAATACAATTAGTCTATCACGTGTCAAATAAATTTAAATCATCGTGAACCGAATAATTATCTAAATAATAAGTCTATAGATCGTCCATGAGATAATTCAATTTTCTGTACAAAGTATATCAAATGTGTATTAGTCTTATTTCTTACTCGAATTATGTTCATTTTGCACAATATTAAATTAACAGTGTAACACACTTGCATAATATTAGTATAACTATACAACAACAATGATGTAATAATACTTACACAATACATTTACATTGAAAATGTAAGATAATATTATTAAATTGAGAATTTAATATTTTTACATAATTGTTGCCTTGTCAATTTAAAATTGTGGCATTAATAATTTAAGTATTAGACAATAAGTAATGATATTTAGATATATTTTTTGGGGCAAAATAATATAATTTAATTAATTACTATGTCTTACAATGAGTCCTTAGACATCATACATTGAATGGAGGACGAAAATCCTAATCCCCAAATTCATGTCCCATGTGATGGTGTGTGAGACGTTACTGTCATTATACATATAATTGTATGTAATTTTTTTTTTTTTTGGGGGCTTATATATGTGAGTAGTGGTCATACATATAATGACAGTATATATTATATACGCGTGTGTGAGTGATGGGACATGAACAATTAATATACAGCGTTGAATATTGAAAATGAGACGAAACCTGGACGTGTGTGCGTCAGTGATTGTGAGTTTGCTGCATCATATATGTGGTCACTCAAACTTTAATACTCCTTCCATTTCAAAATAAGTGTCATGTTTTTTTTTTTATCCGTCTCAAAATAAGTGTCTATTTTCCTTTTTCAAACAATATATTTTATATCATTTCAAAAATATCCTTTAAGTTTAAATTTCAAACTTTTATATTTAAAACTTAAAAAGACAATATAGTAATTTTTTAGACAAATAATACATCGTCCCACGTGTTCCCTTAAAAATTATTACTCCCCACAAGCGATACTTATATTGGGACGGAGGGAGTATAAATTTGGAGAAGGAATTTAAGAAAGTAATAAGTGGCCATAAAATATTACGAAGTATGTAATTAAATGTGTTAATTTTATTATAAAAAATTGATAATAGGCGGTCACAAAATATTATAGAGTATGTAATTAAATATGTTAATTTTATTAAAAAGAAAGTATTGCTTTACATTTGTGATCAATCGAACTACATAATCTTCGCAAACATTCTACTCTTTGCTAAGCTCTCTCAATTTAGTAACAGTATCACTCATTCGGTCTTCATAAAATAAGAATCCTGTTACTTTTATTCAATTACTAATAATGCTACTAGTATTAATTTATTTTTCAAACTTTGAAATGCTAACAAGTTTGAAATTAAGTTTATGAACATTCATTTCAAAATCAGGCGAATCTCGATGCTCATGTGTAATTAGAGGAAATTTTAAGGGATGTGGGTATAATTTACTCATTAAAGAGAGCGTTCGCATACTGCATTTCCTTTTTTCCCGAGAAATTCAAGTCGTCAATTAATCACTCAACAACTTATTTTAAAAGTAATATATATATAGAGGCACAATTTAATGTGGCATACTAAAAAATAGGTTCAATATTGGTGTTGAATTTTATTTTTATTTTTTTAATTTTATTTTTATTTTTTATTTTTTACAAATACTCGCACACCCACACATTGTGGGACTTGAACCTCTCACCTCTTCTTTGAGAATATTGGATGAGCCACACACGGTTTAGAGCAGTTTTATAATTTTGTGAAACCAATTTCGTTCTAGTGCTTCTGTTTTTTTTTTGGGACATTATCGAAGACCTGATACTTAAGTTATACAATTCTTTTCAACAAGTGCAATTCTCGCGCTCTGAGTGCGCTCCCACTATCATGTTTAACGAGTGCCCTTCCCCTATTTTTACTTTGGGTGACTTAAATTTTGTCACTCTTAAATTCACTCTCTCTTCCGCGTGAGTTACCCAATAATACAATTTTTAAATGAGAAATGATAAGTCTTTCGATCTCAATTACCGACTCTTCCTACGAATACAACGTGATTGAATCACGTTGGAACTTTTAAAAAAAATCCTGTAGACATTTCTTTCTCTTCGACTTATTTCCAATCACGTTATATTCGAAGGAGAAGTCGACAATTGAAATCGAAAGATCTATCATTACTCTTGTTAAATACATCGTACCAAGTTGGTTTTAATATCATTAGGAGTAACTTTTGATTAAATGACATCGTTTTATTGGATTTGTAATATACTTACATTTATCATTATTTTGAGGTTGCAGCTGTTTAGAGAATGAAAATATTTTCGACGACCAGTTGTATGCATTTTGGTCACCACTGCTGTCAGATGACTATTTCTATATTGAACAATATCCTACAAGTGGCAATTAAATTACTACTTATTACAGGTTAGTCCATGGCTGACAATCTTATCTTTTGACCTCACTATTGACTTTAAAAACTCAAACAACCTTATTTTTTTCATTGCCTTTAATGATCTACAAAGTAATACTCAAAAAAGTTACTGGCCCAATAGTTGACTTTCCTATATCAAAATTAGAACCGACCATGAATGCATCTTACAAGTGCCATCAAGAACACCATTTCTCTAAAAAGTTAAAAAGGAAATTCTTTTCCAAGTGAAAAAATTCGGAATAAGTGGGATAATACTGAGCATCTCCTCAATGGTTGTTTATATATAAATATATATTGGTGTAAATTTGATCTGTCATAATAGATTTATACAAAACTTTCAAACTAATTATTTTTAATTTCAATTATAATACGTGTGCCCAAGATCTCACGTGACTTTTACACACCCCACCTGACTTTTACAAATCTACACTTAATATAGAGTTGATTCGTTAATGAAATGAGAAAGAGGTTGAAGAGAAAAAATGTTGATGTAGTTGTATAAAAAGGTTATGCAAAATACACAATAATTTTACACATTAGTCTAGTGACAATGTATCTTAACATATTGTTGGAGATAAAAAGAAAAATAAAATAAAATTAGACATTGTGTATATTTTGCACAAAAGGGTCTTTTAATACACTGGTGGAGATGTAGGTCTTCACATGCACACCATCTAGACTATCTGATCACCGATGTGGACCAATAATAAATGAACACATCATATTTTAATTACCAAATCAGATATGATAATTAATTCACCATCTCTGATTTGGTAAGAAAGTATGTACTCAGCCATATTTGATTTGATAACAGACATAATAGGATCCATACACCAACTCTGATTTGGTAATGAAAGAAAGCATGATACACCAACTCTGATTTGGTAATGAAAGAAGACACGTTCATTTGTTATTGGTTCACATAAAGAATAACACGAGAGCAACTAAGTATTATCCAAAAAATATTGGAGAGCCATATCATGTCATTAGTATGTCCAACCAATCAAAATATGCTATTTAAAAAATTGGTCCCACTCAAATTTTTTTTTAACTTTTTTTTTCCCCTAAACATCCACAAAAAAAAAATAAAAAATAAAAAATAAAAAAATCCCTCCAATCAAACTGTTCAATAAGCCAACCGAAGAATCAATATCCCAACATCCAAGTCAGAACACATCAAAATAATGAAACTATCCCAACATCCTAGTCAGAACACATCAAAATAATGAAACTCATCTTAGAGATCACAAGCATATGACAATATGGTTTTGAATTATCAAAAGCATAAAGCCAAATCTATAATACATTGTCTTAGTACAATTTTTAACAAACAAGCAATTAAAATCTGTTTAGACACGAACAGTACAGATTATGGTAACAAGAAGAAAATGCCTACACACCCAGCAAAGATGATCTGTTGGAACTGCACCTCCATATTTATTAGTATGAAACTACTTGAAATGTCATGACACGATATCACCTCAAGCCGACTGCTGTTTTCAGATGAGCTTGTGAATGGTTTTCATATCGGCGGCTTCCTGGATGGTCCCTTTCTCAACATGCTCCCACCACTTCAACAAGAAATTGTCCACAACTAGCCTGAACCATGGGGACAGCTTCAGACCCCCCTCGCCAGCATCTGCTTTTCTCAAAAGCTCTTTCAACTGATCCCGGTTAACATATTTAATATCAGCAACTTCGTCAGGATTCGGGTTCACATTAACATCTCGGACAATGAAGAGTAGGTAATCAACTGCAGATTGACAAAAAGAGGGAGGGCAACATTTAAGTACATGAGAAAATATTTCCATGACCAATGCCTCGGTCAATCTCGTTTTACTCTACAACTGAATTTTTTTTGGGACCAACCCTCAATTAAATCATGGCCCAAGTCAGAACTTCAAAAAGATGAGGCAGACAAATAATGAAGTTAAAAATTAATTGAAGAAAGAAAAATTACGTTCATGCTCTCCCCATTTGCCATCAGATGGCGCCTTGTACAGCATGCGGCCCAGTGGCGTGAACTGGTCAACTGGCACATCCTCAGCAGGAATACCCAGTTCATCCAAAAGCTTCCTTTGTGCAGCATTCCTCACCCCTGGTAAGAAATTAGAAATAGAATTTAATAAAAGAAAGGGCCTAGTGAATCAGAAAAATGGCCTTGCAATGGAATCTTTAAATGAATACCAAGGGCATTCTCATCAATAAGCTCTGATTCTCGATATAGCGGATGGCTGCAGCAGGTGTTTGTCCACACCAGAGGGAATGTGACCTTTGTTGCAGACCGTTGCTACACATACAAAAGAGAATACAAAGTTTAACAAGAAATATCCTCCCAATACTCGCAAAACATATACAATGTATGGGAACCTTTTTGACCTACAGCAAATTCAAATGATGGCTGACTCTACAATATGATTACAAGAAAACAACCAAAGGGTAAATAAAAATAAAACATATACTACAAAACAAAAGGGGAAAACTTTTTTAAGAGAGTGCTGAAAGATTAGGATGCCACCCTCTGGAATGTTGGAAACAAAAGAAAGGTCAACAATCAGCTGATGTTGAAGAAACCAAAGACCATGATCAATAACTTGCATATGGTTAGGTTTATGGTTTTTCACTGCAACTTTTTTCTTTCTATTTTTACTTGATGGTAAATAAGCTTTAGGCAGAAATAACTTGCTTATGGACCAAGTAACCCGAGAACCTCGTAGATACTGTGACAGAATTTTAAGCCTCATAGCTCATGTATTTCAAGCTTATTTACAGAAAACCGCAGAGAAAAAAACTTCAAAACACACCTAACATTTAAAGCACCACTAGAGCACCTACAAATGTACAAAATTATGTATACATTTATGAAAATACATATATGCAGAAATAATATATTATTTTCTTCTTGGGAACATGAAAGAAAATTTATTATTATATTATTATTCATAAGGTTGAAGAACTTGTAAGTCAGTGCATTCTTAAATATTAATAGGGCTAACGACAAAATTAACAATACTTACTTTGTCCACCAGTCTCTACTTGGTCTAACTTTATCCTACATCAGCTAATTTTAGAACAATCGCTCATTTTATCGTCATATTCTTCCCTCTTTTATTCTTTAACATTAGTCTTCCAAAGTTAGCTCAATAATGACACAGAGAAACAATCAAAACTAGTTACTAAAACGAGGAACCGAAGCTATATTAAACTCTATTTTAGGAAGCTTCTACTTATCATGTTTTTCCACAACCAGGTGCAATATCTCTAGACTTCCTTCCGTTTTTAACATCACTTTCCTAACCACATAGGTAAACTCTTTTATATACGACACATCTAAAATTTACAAAGAAATCTTTATGCAACTCAAACCTTACAAAGAAATCATTGTGCAGCTCAAACCGTCACTCATATATTCATATGCTATACCCATAAAGTAAATCATTTGCAAAGAAATAAGCTAATAAGTAGTCATAGGTTCCAACACGTATAATTGCAATCAATTACACTGACATTTCCAACTAAATATTCCAAAAACTAAAACACATACCTGAAGGAGTAACTCATATTTTGAGTTAAACAAAAATACACTGAAAGCTCTGTGTAGCAAATTTTCAGATTCAATCTTTTCCATCAAGTGACCTGCAGATTAGAAAAGCATAAAAAATCAAATAAAAAATAAATAAAGGAAAGAAAGACAAAGAGCCACATAAATGTCATCCACATGCATAAAAAGTGCTAAATTTTTCAAGTTAGAAAAGGCAATAAACATTTACATTTTGAAAACAAATTGCTAGTGATAATTTTATGAATATTTATTTGTCTCGTCATTTAGTTTCTTGTCACCAAATTATATGCTTTACAGGCTCCTACAACAACATGCGAGTTAGTAAAAAATATTTTGGTTGTTGTATTTAACTGAATATATCATATTTATTAAACGTCTATTGAACAGAATGCTGCAGAATTGCTTCTTCCATCTGAATTTTTTTTTTTTTTTTTTTTTTGTGGATAAGTTTCTTGCATCTAAATTTTAACTCAATTCTAATTTTTTCCATGCATACACGCACATACACAGAGAGAAGAAGAAATGGCATTTTCTCAAATTTTTGTATGTTCTTATTCTAAAATATTTTGATATCCTCACAATTTCTCTGATGCATTTCTTTAGGGCACAACTGAATGAATCCTTCATGTGTAATTAAATCAGTGGAAGCGGATTGCAGTATAGCAGCTAATTTTATACTCTCTTGAAATTACAGAGCAGAACATTGTCTTATCAAACTGATGCCAAATTTTTTATCACAAAAAATTTCAAATTGATTGGAGAATCAGCACAGTTTTTTAATAAAGATATTGGTAAACAAACAAATATTCCTAATAGAACTGCAATCCTCTGAAGAGATTATGCTTAGAACAAGATTAATATGGTACATCAGTTTGGAGCATTAAAATGAAGCATAAGGAATACAGAACAAGAATGCCACACTAGAATTAAGTGATCTGTTATAGCAAAATTGACACACCATCATCACTACCAAAAGGCCATGAAAGTCATTATCCATTATTGGCCCAGACTGCCTATGCAGGTTTTGGCAAGGTGGATTTGGTACAAACCTAATTATTGGCATTGTTTTAGACAAATATGGCTACTCTCATGTTTTCACACTTGATAGCCCGCTACTAAAAGGCCATGAAAGTCATAACCCATTATTGGCACTGCCTGCCTATGCGGGTGTTGGCAAATTTTGATACAGACCTAATTCTTGGTATTATATTACCCAGGAATAAAAATCTTGGTATTATATTACATAAATATGGCTACTCTCACGCGGCCACACTTGAATAGCCCGAGTGTTTTCCATTGCACCAAGCAATATCACTGTTGCTATAACCATTTATTTTAAGAATATGTCAAATTATTTAGATAGCTTTTAAAACAAAAAAGATTATACAGATAATAAAAATTAATATCTCTATTGGATGATGGAAGTTATATACAACTTTATTTGACGTATCTTGTCAAATTAGCCTATCTTTCATTTACCCAAACTAGAATCAGGTGCCCTTACTAATAATGGTTGGTGAGTTACTATACACTGATCAATTATTGCAAGTTTAATATTATTAAAATAAAAAACCAGGCTGAGATGTAACATTAAAGAAAGATCTTAGTGAGGAGAATATTTAACTATTACAATTTTCTAGAAATATAAAATAGCCAAGCCATACACCGGCATAGGATGCCATTAGCCAAAACCCCGATTAATTTTTTAAAAAACACACACACATGCACGCACTCTTGCAAAACTACCAAGAAAAGAATGTGTGCCTTGTAAAAGAAAGTTAATGTTCAAGTTATGACCGACTGCTAATAACAACACTGAAGACTATCAACTCAAAAATGTTGTGAAAAGGAAATCCTGCTTACAGTTGTATTTCGTGTCATGGCCAACAACACGATCATTCTCATCCACCAAAATACATCTGCAGAAGTTGAGAGTAGAAAAACTGTTACTAAAAACCAAGCAAATATGATACTGAGTAAAAAAAAAAAACATATAATACTTCAGTCTATAGATTGAAAAGAGAGGGAATGTGTTTCTTATCAAAAAAAAAGAAAAGAAAAAAAAAAGGAAAACAAAATAGTAATCTTTGAAACATAATAGTCAAAATCGAAACCTATCACTTTGCACTACCACCATATGATACTAGCAATGTTCAGTGACATTTTTGGATAGCTGATGTACATGATGGAATTACAAATTTAATTATCAGAATAGTTGAATAAACAAATTTAACCGAAATTGCACCCCTATGAATATTTTCATCTCTATTTGTGGTTCTTTCAATAATTTGGATCTCCGAGATTTCAAGAAAGGAAAGCCTAAATGCTCATCAATAGTGCACTATTTGGAACAAAACTAAATAATCATGTAATTTTCTTTTTCATTTCTGGCAAATAATTAAAATAGGTAAAAGCATTTAAGAAGTTCATAACTTCATATATAACTTAATTTATCCAGAAGATTTCTTGATTTTCATTCTTAAGAAACAAAAGCAAGAACCCTTCTCTGTCAATAAATTATCATTAAAACCCCAACCAAATACCCCTTAAATAATAAAGTTTTCTAACTTGGGTTAGCTCATAGAATGGAGAAAGAGAATAAATGTGGCCGGCCCCATTCATTTGGAAAAAAAAAGGATGATGATGAAGAAGAAGAGCTTGGGTTAGCTCCTTCCTCGTAATCCTTTTTCTCCCAATACCTTTCAAATCAATCACCAATCATAGATTCAGTAGGACCAACTTTAAGATGTTGAACCCAATTTAGTATCACATGAATGATCGATCTGAAAAAGAATTGAAGGTAATATAACCAAAACCCATCCCATATATATGTAATGACGCAAATTCACACAGCAATTTCAGTGTATATACATATGTGTGTGTGTGGAATCTCTCTCTAATTGTACGCGGATAAAACCAGCTTCGATGCTATATTTTCACACAAATTTCTCTCGTCCGATCAAATTTTCTCTTCAACCAAACAAGTCAACACAAACAGATCAAAAGACAGAAAACAATCACTATAATCACAGCCAAATGAATTGAAGTTAGTATAACAAAAATTCTTCCCATACGTATGAAATGATGTAAACTCACACAGAAATTCCAGTGTGTGTATATGTGTGTTTGTGAAATCTCTCTCTAATTTTTTTGCGGATAAAACTAAAACGACCCTCGATGCTATATTTTCATACAAATTCCCCTGTTCAAATTTTCTCTTCAACAAAACAAGTCAACGCAAACAGATCAAACAACAATCACAATCAAAATGCTCTAAATCTCAATCAATGGAAGAAAATCAAAGTCAAAGGCACTAACTCGTCTTCGAACATGAGACGCCTCTGGACAGCGTCCATGCCTGCGTCGGTGGCGGCGTCACCCATTGCGGTGGTGCTGGTGGTGGCGGCGGCGGCAGAGGAGGAGCGAGAGTATGACAAGTGAGCGGAGAGGGGAGATAAGGTGGTGATGGGTCTTAGAGAGAGAGAGTTTTTGGGAAGAAGAGTTGAAGAAGAGTGAGATTTGGGAGAGCAGAGGTTGATAGTGAAGAGTCTTTGTAGATATGTGTGTGAGGAGGCTAACAAAGACATTTTTTAGAATCCGAGCGTTGGAGTCTCCGCCATCAACGTTGATTTTTTTTTTGCCCACACTCACATGCATTTATTCTCCATTGCGTTTGTATACTACTATAATCACTACCTACCAAAATTGTATGTTCACATGTATATGTATATGTATATATATATATGCATAAAATGTACTTTACCAAAATACATATATATATTTGGTATACATTTTTGTGTATGTTACATTATACTTATCTAAATTATCTTGGTTATAACTTCCCAAAAGCAGATCAAACGATACATAACGTACTTCAAGAAAAAATAATGGAGATAGATTATTGTTTCAAAATAGAAGGAAAATAATTATAGACAATTATTATTCATGTGGTTCAATCATAAATGTACATTAATAATTAAAAAATTAAAAAGTAATAAATAAGGGAAGAATGACTGAATTTATTTCAAAAAAATTATTTTTTAATTTATTGATTTTGTAATTAAATATTGAAGTATATATGTCATATTAAACCACATCAATGTATCACCTACTTATCTGTGAATAGATAAATATTGTTCAATAATTACTACTATAATTTTAAAAAATATCAGTTCTTTCATGAAACGAGGTACCAAACATTGTTATTTAAACATGAAATTAAAACAATTTTTCAAAACGTGTAAAAAATTAAATAAATTATTTAATAAAATTTTACTTCGGGGATCAAGAAGTAAAGTTCTCTTTGTTACTATTAATTTATAACTCATCCATAGGAATATCATATAATACATATGAAAAATATTATTGCGATAATACCTGTTGCATATATATTATACTGAGTATATCTTATTCAAATGTTTGCCATTATCCTAGTTCTTACTTTCTTATGAGTTGGCACTTGCCATTATGACTTACCAAAGTATACATGCTCCCTTAAAACAAAATTAATGATCGAAATTTTAAAGTGGTATGCAATTAAATGGATGTCTTCATTTGAAATTTCAAAATTACCCCTGTGAGAATTTAAAGAGATGCATTGTTTCTTTAAGACCACTTCTCAAACTTCAGAATAGTGTATAAAAAACAAGGGGGAGGATGAATCATATTTTGAGCAATAATTTATTATTCCCTTCATTTCATAAAAAATGTCATATTTGATGAATCGTGACTCACAAAAAAAAAAGAAGGAAAAGAATGTATCATATTTTAAGCAATAATTTACTAGTCCCTTCGTCCCAAAATGACACTTTTTTATGGGACTGAATGAGGTAAAGTTACTCATTCTGTTCCAAAATAAGTGTCCTGTTCACAATTTTAAAAATAAATCCCTTATTTTTTAAATTTTTTTATTTTAAAAAACACATTGTCAATCACTCCATTTAAAAAAAATAGCACGAAGTCACATATAGTGCAATGGAGACATTCCCCTGAATGACAGGATAGTAATTTTACCAAAGAGTAATGTCATCTATATCAAAGTAATAATTGATTAAACAGTTAAAAAAAAATCATTAAATTTTGGATAAATTTCTTGCTCACTGCGACGTAAGAAATCATTTTTGTTTATTAGTTATTTTCATCTCATGTTTATTTATTTATTTATTTTTCAAAAAAACTCTACACACAAAACTTGAATTCTAATATTCCATTTTTGAAAGATTATGAAGATATTACTAAACTAGAACTTTTTTGTGTTCATTTCGTGTTAATGGGTTTTAGATTCTCTTTTGGAAAAGTATTTCCTTTTATTAAAACTCTTCACGGCATGATTCCCTATTTTATTTTTACTCTACCTTGTTTGTTAGAAATATTATATAAAAATACATATATATGTTATATATATATATATATATATATATATATATATATATATATATGTCGTATACAGTTTCTTAGAAAATATATGACACCAAAGCTCGCGAGACACGAGTGGCTGATTCCAAAGCAAGAGTTTCAGTATCTTAATAACAAAACAACAAGAATGGTGTGTATCGCGTGCGAAGAAAATAAGAATTGTCATCAATAAGCACGTGGCACATGTGTTGTCTCTTTAACCCACAATTGGATAATTTTGATACTCTCTGTAAAAAAACACATTTAAAGGAGATCTTAAAACTAATCACCATTTTTTAAACGTGAAAAAAAAAAAAGACTAAACATATATATATATATTTATATATTTATCAACTTAAGATGTTATATTCGCGTGTCTTTCAAAATCTGATTATATGAAAAATTATTACATAATCTTGGATAATAGGTCCTGGACCAATAACATGGTGATACCGATTTAAATGCATTAGTTAATTTTGTGTCAATTATATTGCACTTTTTATTTAAGAATGACTCTTAATTATATATAACACACTTTTTTTTTTTCCTAATTGATTATCGCACACAACACATGTCTTCAGACCCGAATCTCTATCCTTTCTTTGAGAAGTAAGAGTTTAATATCGCTAGGTCACTGGCCTATTGGTTTATATATACCAGTATCATTTAGGTAAACAACAGTAAACGAGTCAATGTAGAGGTTAAAAAATAAAAAAAATTAAAAAAAAATCATCAAACCATAGAGAGTAGTAGAAGCGTTGGTCAGGCCAAAGGGTATATACACGCATACATAAGGATATGCATGTATATGTGTATATACATTACAATATTGCATATACTTATACATTTTTTATATTTGCATATTTATAATTGTACAAGTATTGTTCTATAAGTGAAAAAATATGTGTGTTTTTCTTTATATATATTTTTATATATACTCTTATTATTAGAAATATGACTTCCAAAGTTTCAAGTGTATATCTATCAATTGACTTTTGAAAGAGCAAGTATACAACACATTGAATTTCCCCTTTTGAAAATACTATAGGATATTTTTGAAGATTTTAGAGTTATTTTGTTATTTTAAAAATATTTCCTAAAATATTTCACACACAATCAAATGCTGAAAAATAGAACAACATACTTCAAAATTTGTCATGTCAAGGTTTTGTCAATTTATTTTGATTTAAAAATAAGATAGTAATAATATTCACTTGTGAAGCACGTGTATTGTTGGAGTAACTTTCAAATAATGAAATCTAAATTATTGAAAAATTAAGTCAAAATCCATGTATTAATAATTAATATATACGACCCATCACCAACCCCATTGGAGGAAATGGTCTCCGGTCAAATTTCAACTAAGCCGAAGTCAGAAATGCTGTGCTGAATTATATTACTGGCAAGTGGTGACCCTAAAGCTGACTAAAACAATAATGCTCCTTCAACCAACAATATTTATATAAAATATTCAATCACTTGATGTTAGGTTTTTCTGTCGAATTCGATGACAATTGAAATGAGTAATATATAAATTAGATGTTAGTTTTATTTAATAGTTAAATAATTTTTAAATTTTAATCGTGAAATACTCATTTATTAGGGTTGATATTAGAGTTAGATTTAATTTTTGATTTAGTATCATGTTAAGTGTTTTGTTAGTTGCCTTTCCAAGTAGGCAGAATAGTCTGATCGCAACAAAAGCGTTGCGAGTTCGAACGAGTAAGAATGTTAAATTTTTTTTCTATATCAAATCTGAATAGAAAATAAAATGGATATATATGTATAAGTTAGAAGAAGTTGTAGACAATCATGAAATATGGCTTGGAATTTGAGAGTAGGTAAGGTTAGTTTTTTTATTGATAACTATTTTGCAAATAGTAGTAACTCGAAGTCAACAAAAACTTTGTAACTTCAAATGGGTAAGCCTTTAAATTTGTTAGCTCAACTAATTTTAAAAGAATTTTCATGAATTTCAGTACGACATTAAACACATATTCATAAAATTTTCAATGTTATGATTTTTTTTTCCAGCAAGTTTCATGAGACCATTTTTGCTCAAGATTTAATTGGAAATATTTATATAAACTGGGGAATAATTTTTTTATTTAGTCAAAGATAATATTACCGAACCTCTTAAAGCACCCTAAACATCCAATGTGAAGTGAGACAGATAAGGGGAATAAATTGAATCCATATATTTCGAAAGTGCGTCCGTCAAATAAGCTGACTAAGGAGGATCATTTTTAAAGATTTTTTTTTTCCTTTTTTTTTTTAAATAATTTTATTTAAATTGTCAATGCAATTGATGGCCAGTTCTCCACCAATTATAAAGTCGAATGTTGACTTATCACGCACATTAAAGCACCTAGATACCTAGGAAACGAAATCGTACTCCAATTAGGACTTGAGGAATGAAGACCCATTTTGGACTTGTGTGTAGTAATAACTTTGAGAAAATAAAAATAAAAAAAAAATAAGGCGAGCAGATGGTTATTATTATTATTTTTAATCATTGTAAAGACATAAAGGTTAATTCATCACAAAAGTCAAGTAGATAAAGGACATATAAATCAAGTAGATTCTAAATTTATTGAAGGAGAGAAGAACAACAATGAGAGTGACTCAAAGATCTGATTATTATCAAGGTAATAACTTTAAAGTTACATCCACAAAGCACCTTCAATAGGAAAAAAATACTCAAACCCCGCACAAGATTAAATTAAGTCGGGAACAATAAAAATCGACATAGATTAGAGATTTAATCAGAAAAAAAATATCAAATCTATTCCATCTAATCGAAAACAAGCCATATAGGAGCAACTCAACTGGCCATCATTTGACATATCACACTAAGCAAGTTTGGACTCCTACATTAATAAGGAAAATCACACCCTATAATAATGAACAATGAATAATGAAACATGGATTAAATTACAAAATAATAATAATAAAGGTTTTGAAAAAGAAATAATAATAATAATAATAATTATTATTATTATTTCTTTTTCAAAACCTTGCAATTCAACCTTTGCCATACTAACCGTTGAAAAAAATAATTGAAAAGTGATCTTGTTCATGTGACAATCTAACTATGAAATCATTATTATCCCTTTCTTATTGACTAAAATACTCTTATATCCTTTTTTTGATCTATATAAATCAATTCGTTTGTATACCCCCATCATATTGTATGTGTGAGTTATACTGATATGTTACAGTTTTGTGAATTGGTA